GTGTGTTACAGTATCATGTTTCTTCCATAAGTTCATTCATTTTTATCATTTCGCTTCTGTCAACCATTTTAGGATCATTGTGCTACGCTGAGCTAGGCACGGTCGTTCAGAAATCTGGAGCTGAGTATGCCTATCTCTATCAGTCCCTTGGACCGATTCCAGCTTACCTGTTTTCATGGACATCAATCATTATCCTCAAACCGTCATCTGTCGCTGCCATTGCTCTCAGTTTTGGTGCCTACATCGCCGATCCTTTTTTCCCGGATGATTGCGAGCCACCGGTAATGGCTGTAAAGTTGTTCGCAGCAATCTGTATATGTAAGTAACACTAGCACTACCTCATCAATGAGAATATATGATTTACATGCAGTACACAAAACATTGGAGAGTTGCTTCCTAAACTATGCATTCAAGATATGGAACCAGCTTACTGTAGTTCGTCAGATGTAAGCCCACCTTGGGTAAAAGCCCGCCTCAAGTAAAAGCCGGCTTCGGGTTAAAGCCCACCTCTTACTTTACATCTAATTTCAAAATATACCTTTTGATTGGCCAACATAAACATGAACAGAGGATTCCCTCGGGTATTAGCCTACCCCACTCCCCATTCCCCACCCAAGAAAAATCGGACCAATTTCATGTATGTCATATCATGCTTGCATGCATCCATGTTATTTAGTGTTTGAATTTATGCCAGTTAAGGTGAATCATAGAAATAGTTATGAATATGTATTGCAGCAGACAGAGAATAGTGGTTATGATGATACTTTGATCATGATTTTACACACATAATTGGAGTGATGAGGATGATATTAATTTTCATAGTGGTGATGATGATAATGAAGATGACAGTGATGTTCATTAGTAATTAATGGTGATGACCAAGAACTGCTGTTGACTCAAAATAAGGTGAATGACAGGTGATGATGATGATGATTACACAGTGCACCCTCCAATTCTGAGACTCCTAATACGAGCCCACTTTTTCAAAGAACCAAGTAACAACCGGTATCTTCAATCTTTTAACACACAACTAACCCTCTAAATGGAGACCGAACCCAAGACCACCCCAAATTCTCAGGTCCCAAGGATGGTCTCGAATTGGATGATGAAGTGTACAGTACTCAGTTCTGTGATGATGATTTTCTTCTGTTGATTATGTAAATAATGCAATCTTATTTTACGTAATTCACAGTATTAATTGTGTTCATCAATTGCGCAAGTGTGAAGTGGGCGACTACTGTACAGAACTTTTTCACCGCTGCAAAGCTGCTGGCGTTGGTTATCATCATTGTCATTGGATTCATCAATATATGTAAAGGTAATGCTTGCTTAGATTTTATGTCTAGTTCTTAATTTTAAAAAGAAAGAAAACGAAAGGGTAAAGAAGGAAAAAGAAAGAAAATGAAAAGGTAAAAGAAAGAAAAGAAAAAGAAAGAAAACAAGGAGGTTTAGAAAGAAAAAGAAAGTTAATGGCAAAAAAAGAGAAAGGGAAGAATAAGAGGTGTGGAAGTGGAAGAAAAGGAAAATATAATACTAGAAAATTAAAACATGAAAAGAGGTAGAAAAATGAAAAATGTAAGAAGGAAAAGGGGCTAGGGGAAGAAAAAATAATGAAAGAAATTACAGGGAAGTAAAGGAAAAGAGAGACGGGTCGTAAGTATGAAAGAAAATAAAAGAAAAGGGAAAAAAAGAAATGGGAAAAAGAGTAAAAGATAAGTAAGGTAATACGACTAAGGAAATAAATATTTAACATTCATTTTTTTTAAAGTAAATAAAATTGTGTATTTTCAAATTATTTATTTATTAACATTATATATTTATTTTTATTGTTGTTATTCATAATTGTTACTCATTATTTTTGTTAGGTGAAACTTTTAATAATTTTTCGCACACCATGCTGTAAAGCGCATAAAGGTATCTTACATTATGCGCTATATAAATTGACAATTATTATTATTATTATTAAAAAGCCAGTAATGTCAGTCAACATATTATGGGTTGTTTTCACCACAAAAAAGGATCCAAATTATGATAATACAGTAAAACTTCCAAAATTACTGTCGTGTGGGGCTGTATGTTAACATGAAAGGAAAAAATTATATTCAGTAGACTTTATGCAGTTATCGTTTATTCAGATCACCATCCCATGGAACTTATACCTCCAGAATTTTTCAAATAGGGTGCCCACAAAGCATTTTTAGATAAGTGAGTAGCGCTTACTTTCAATACATAACATTGCATTGAAATTTTAAAATTTAGGGGGGTGGGGACACATGCCCCCGTTCCCCATACTGGATACGCACTAGCATACATGACAGTACAATAATATATACTAATTTGGTAAACTAAATAACCTTGGTTTTTGGATAAAATTTATATTATTGGCCTTTTCTGGGACAGCAGAAAATCCATTGTTTTGTTCTGATCTTTTTCTTCATTTGTACCATTTTATGTTATTGCACAGTTTGCTTCGCATTACTTTGGATCTTTACATGGATTTTCATCAAACTTGGCCCAAGCAAAGTTCATATTATTGCAAAGATGTAAAATATATAATTCTAAATACAATAGACATAAACTTATAATTAAGATACTGCAAAACCTTGAAAAGAAGCCCAATGGGTTAATCTCGAGAAGAAGCCCAACTAGAATTGAATTCCTCTCTTTAGTTTGCAAAAGTAGCCTCAGAAAGAAGCTTTTCGAGATAGTTAGAACACAAACTGAAGATGAATTTCAAAGAAAGAAAATAAATTAAAAACACACTTGGTTTATACAGCAGCTTAGGTGATTTAAATATTAGTTAATACACTCCATGGTACATATTGATAATACAGTGACCCTATCTATTAGTTTATAGTAGTAATTCCCAAAATTTACAGTATTCATTTGAAAGAAGTCCCCCACCCCGCTCTTATCTTTGCAAAAGCCCATCTCGAAAAGAAGCCCATCCAAAGTTCGCAAAAAAAAAAAAAAAACACCCAGGGCCAATTTGAGGTTTTATGGTATTAGGATTAGGTAAACACAATTAAACGCAATGTGCTTTTTCTTAGTATTTTGCACTAGTTATAGTAAACACAAATTTGCCCTGAATTTTTCACTCAACAGATATAGAATAAAAAATAACATTGGTGGCGTTCTATAGTGTAATGGTGAGAACCCTGCAGTATTGCAGCCCAGTCTATGTAGCCCTTATTTCTTTATTTTATAATGACTAATACATAATAACCTTTGACATTGATTGAACATTCAATTCAAATATGGTGTCTCATCATACCAAATAGACGTGGTAAGCCTAGTTTTTATTTTTAAGTTTGTTGTTAATTTCAGGAAACACGGAGTACTTGAAGGTATCAACGTCATTTGAAGGTTCTGCAACAAAGCTGTTTGCTTATGGTGTGGCATTCTATCAAGGACTGTGGGCATATGATGGATGGTAAATAATGACCAGATAATATTTGGCTATCTAAAAATGATTATGATAAGAGAGGATAACACGAAACAATACTCTGCTAAAAAGGATGAAAGTCATAGCATTGATCCGCTATGAAAAACTATGATTATGAGTTTTGTTTATCATAGTCATAAGTCATTTAAAATTAAATAAGTAAATTAGTACTGTACAACCCTCAAGCTAAATGGAGTTTATCTTTAGTTAATAAGAAAGTGTTGCTTCTAATGAAAACATTGACGGTATATAATGATTCATACTTTTCGCCATTATAAAATTTATGATAATGTGTTATATTCATTTTGTATTCCAATTTTTTTTTTTTTAATTACATCATATTTTTTGCTTTAATTTTATGTTTGCCCTCTTTATGTAGTGCTAAGCTTTTTATCTTCTTTATACTTTAACAATGGGTTAATCTTGAGAAGAAGCCCAACTAGAATTGAATTCCTCTCTTTAGTTTGCAAAAGTAGCCTCAGAAAGAAGCTCTTCGAGATAGAACACAAACTGAAGATGAATTTCAAAGAAAGAAAATAAATTAAAAACACACTTGGTTTATACAGCAGCTTAGGTGATTTAAATATTAGTTAATACACTCCATGGTACATATTGATGATACAGTGACCCTATTTATTAGTTTATATTAGTAATTGCCAAAATTTACAGTATTCATTTGAAAGAAGCCCCCCACCCCCCTCTTATCTTTGCAAAAGCCCATCTCGAAAAGAAGCCCATCCAAAGTTCGCAAAAAAAAAAAAACACCCAGGGCCAATTTGAGGTTTTATGGTATTAGGATTAGGTAAACACAATTTAACGCAATGTGCTTTTTCTTAGTATTTTGCACTAGTTATAGTAAACACAAATTTGCCCTGAATTTTTCACTCAACAGATATAGAATAAAAAATAACATTGGTGGGGTTCTATAGTGTAATGGTGAGAACCCTGCAGTATTGCAGCCCAGTCTATGTAGCCCTTATTTCTTTATTTTATAATGACTAATACATAATAACCTTTGACATTGATTGAACATTCAATTCAAATAATATGGTGTCTCATCATACTAAATAGACGTGGTAAGCCTAGTTTTTATTTTTAAGTTTGTTGTTAATTTCAGGAAACACGGAGTACCTGAAGGTATCAACGTCATTTGAAGGTTCTGCAACAAAGCTGTTTGCTTATGGTGTGGCATTCTATCAAGGACTGTGGGCATATGATGGATGGTAAATAATGACCAGATAATATTTGGCTATCTAAAAATGATTATGATAAGAGAGGATAACACGAAACAATACTCTGCTAAAAAGGATGAAAGTCATAGCATTGATCCGCTATGAAAAACTATGATTATGAGTTTTGTTTATCATAGTCATAAGTCATTTAAAATTAAATAAGTACTGTACAACCCCCAAGCTAAATGGAGTTTATCTTTAGTTAATAAGAAAGTGTTGCTTCTAATGAAAACATTGACGGTATATATTGATACATACTTTTTGTCATTATAAAATTTATGATAATGTGTTATATTCATTTTGTATTCCAAATTTTTTTTTTTTAATTGCATCATATTTTTTGCTTTAATTTTAAGTTTGTCCTCTTTATGTAGTGCTAGCTTTTTATCATCTTTATACTTTAATAAATATATATTAAAAATTACTTTTTTCGATGTATTTTGATATATTTTTGAAAGATTTTGATACATTTCATTTATACTATATATTAGGTATATTTTGATATATATTCAGATATACTATAGTTTGCTGTATTTATATATATTTCAGAAATATTTTGATATACTTTCAGCCATATGGTCAAATACAGTGAAAATGGAATCAATTACATTTTCACTGTAATAAATTAGATTGTCACTGTATTTGATTACATTTTCTCTGTAATACTGTAGATTAGATTTTCACTATAATTGTTTATATTTATACATTTTAAATATAATTTTCTATACAGTATTTGTATAAGTATATTTGAGGTATATTGTTTTATATATATATTTTGCTCTTGTTCCCAGGAACCAGCTCAACTACATTACTGAAGAACTCATTGAACCAAACAAGTAAACTTTTTTACATATTTATGTTCTTGTGACTAAAAACAGCTCTACTTCCTAAGCCTCCTAATGAGACGTAATTAAAGTCCTGTTCACATTGGATTATGTTTTACCGAGATACAGGGTAACTTTACCTGGTTAATCTTCTGTCCGCACTATGATTTAAAGGGATGTATGGTGGTAGCACCTGTTTCCGGAAGAATTATCCATGTCGTGCTGTTCCACTTTTCAGCTTCAGGGAGCCAGCCTTGTTTAATCCCTCTGGGCACCACTTGCTTGACTAAGCTTAGTGCCCGGCTGGGGTAACTTGGCCAAGTTGAATGTCACTCAGGCTGTTCAGACTGGATTTTTTTTTTTTTGGTGGGGGGAGGGGTCAAATTGACCAGGTCTCACATGGTTAGTTTGACTAAAAAATTGCAACCTAAACAAGCCTTTATAGTTTATCATATTGGTTTATCCATAGACTAGTTAATTTGCTGCTAGGTAAAGCAAATTTTTTAAATTTATTAAATAAATAGTTTCCTTATTAGGGCCAACAACAGTGATAATTTAAAAACTGTAGGCTTATGCCGAATTCTAGGGTTCGGGCCTGCCATGAGTTTTAAAATTCAATGTGTAAAGCCTGAAAAGTAACTTTAATTGCCGGCCCTCCTTGAGAAAAAAAAACAAATATTGATCTATTTTGAAATATCTTCTTCGCAGAAACCTTCCCCGGGCTATCATCATTGGCATTCCCTTGGTGACAATACTATACCTTCTTGTGAATATCTCATACTTCACTGTGATGTCACCAGACGAGTTGCTTGCATCCGGAGCTGTTGCTGTGGTATGTTTCTCAACTATGATGTACATATTTATTTTACACTTATACAACCTATCTTGAATAATATATATATATATATATATATATATATGTATATATATATACAAAATATATGTGAAATATTAAACAAAAGCAGATTTGCTCATATTTGTCCTTGAGAATCATATGGACTTAATTTTCTTAGTTTTTTTTCCCCGAATTTTATTTTTACTGTTATTATTATTATGTCATATTATTATTATTATTATTGTTATTATTCATTATTTATTATTATTATTATTAATTACTATTATTATTAGTATTATTATTATTATTATATAATTATTATTAAAATGATCAGCATTTGCAAAATCATTCTCGTTATATATTTTTGTCAAATTCTTATATAATATAATTAATTTGATGCTTATGTTGTAAAAATATTCAATTAATAAGAAAGAGATCAACACATCCACTTGCTCTTCCATGTTATCATAACTTATAATATTTTTAAAATATAATAAATTTGTTAAAGTTATCAAAGATGAAGAAGCAAGAGCTATCTCAATTAATATATATCTATTATTTTAGGTACTTAATACCCCTCACCCCCCTCCCCCATTTTCACTACAAAAATTAAAAAAAACTATGGCTATTCTCCTATTCTCATACACATGTTTCTAAAATCCTAGATTTGTCCTGCCAATGATAATAACAATAAAAGTAAAAAATAATAATAATAATAATAATAACAATATCAATCTGTTTTTGAAGAGGCACTGAAGATATATCATCCAAGTTGAGCAAAAAAAAAAGACAATAAAATTTAATATTGAATTGCTTACAAGTGGACAGGAAATTCCACTCAGATGCTTAATGCTCTGATAGGTTTCTCGACATGTTTTTGGGATTACAAAATGATAAAGCGAAAAAACGAGCGTTCTACATGTGAATGCCTTTAAATCAGGCTAAGGAAATTATGACTTCTGTTTTTCTTTTAGAAAAAAAGTTTTTAAATATAAACTTGAAATATGTTAAAACTGGAAAAAAAAAACTGTAATTCATATCATCATCATGTTACTATAGTAAGATTTTTAACATATTATGCTATGATAGTCATCTATTAAAGAATGTGAATAAATTATTTTTGTAGTGAAAATGGGAGAGGGGGTGAGGGGTATAATGTACCTAAAGTAATAGATATGTATTATTGAGATAGCTTTTGCTTCTTCATCTTTGATAACTTTAACAAATTTATTATATTTTTAAAATATTATAAGTTATGATAACATGGAAGAGCAAGTGGATGTGTTGATCTCTTTCTTGGGCCTAGTAATAGCATCCACGTACCTAATACAGACGTCTGTACCTTTGGTAATATGGCGCCTAATGATATTTCTGTCTTGGGTAGAATTTTCTTTTTATTATTTTAGTTGAAAATGTAAGAACAGTTTAAACTTTTCCGAAAACAGACAATTTTAGTTTTTGCTGTTTTTTTTGCATTATATTTCAAACACCTGGGTTCACCTTGATTCCCATTTCCTGATAAATTAAATAAATTACCTGGGATTCTGTATATATAAACTGCCAGAGATTGAAACCAGTTTAAACCTGGGTTGCTGATAGATTTGTCAGCCCCAGGGAATACCTTTAACCCTGTTTTAATTTTTTTTTTTTTTTTTTTTTTATTGTATACCCCTATGCATTAGATCAATTCCAACTGAACCGTAACAACTGACAACAAAAAGATATTAACAAGAAATGGGGAGAAAGGTAGAATTAAAAAAAGATGATCTCCGACAATAACAAGAGGTGATCCGCTCGTGAAGCGGATCACCAATAATAAAAGAAATGATAATAATGTACATTTATAATGCACCAGAATCCATCAAAGGTGCTCAAGGCATAAACAGATATGAAGACAGTTATAAACAGTTGGTAATCTTAACTACAAATAATATTAATAATAATACCCGTAACCCTAGTGGGGGAAGCTTCCAGAGTCCCTTTGATTGCCCAAGGCAAGCAAATATTTAGTGAAAATATGATTAAAAATAAATGGAATAGAATTTCAATTTTATTTAATAAAGTTTATTTGTTAAGGATCCAAATACTGTTGTTTGAAATCTTTGCTGCATTGTCTTTTTCTTTGGAAATTCAATGGCAGAGGTGGGCTTCAATCAGCTTCTTTGGATTTTAGTTTCCTTACAAGACAAACAATAAAATCTATATTCTCTAAAATGGACTAAACTAGAGTTCATTTTTGATAATAAGTATTTAATGATTAGAATATACATTTCAAAGAGTAACCAAATAAGTTTATAATAATAATTATTAATATAATATATAGATATCACCAACCATTTTGATGTGGAAATAGCTTCTACCCCTGTATATAGATACCCAGAGCTGATTTTTTTATATATGCTATATAAACTGACATTGCTTTTAGTAGAAACTACCTTTATGTCGATTGCTTTGACTGAAATTATTTGTTGTGCTTCAGTTGGTCCTAACCACAATTTTATACTAGTAAATTATATTTTATCTGTCGTTCATAAAAATATGTAATTGCTTTTGAGATATATCATAAAGTATATTTTACTGTTATTAATTTGTACATGTTATGTATTTGATTACAATGAGAGGCTTTACACATTGTTTTTGTCTTTGGTGGGAAAAAGAAGCACTTTGAGACTATGAACTGTATAACACTTTTTATAGCCTTTTTGAGTTTTAATTTATTGAAACAAATAAATATTAATAAATATGAATCCTGAGATAAATTTTAAAAAATGTATGATGAATACACTGGAATTTTGGGGCAAATTTAACAAAAATATTTGTGTTTTTTTTAAGATATTTTAGAGTAAATATCCTTAAGTGCTTCCTTAAACGAGAATTTTTTATACCTTGTTTAGAAAAACCTGCCGCCCACCAATAATGATGATTTGGAATAAAAATAAAATTTTATTAGCATACCTGCCACCACAAAAAATAGAAATTTTAGAAAAAGATTTTTTTGTTTTTACTACAATGTGTATATTCATCAATAAAATTTTATTTTTGTTTTCTCCTTCATCTGGATGTCTTTGGCAAAACTATTTGTTAAATATGAAAAAAAAAAAAAAAAATTTCCGCTCTTTGAAAATTTTTTGAAAAATAAGTTTGCGAAACAAGGTATAAAAAAAGTCTTGTCTTACCTAGCTTATACGCTTTTATATCATTTATTTTTTCGCTACGTTTATTTTTTGTTTATGTTTTATACAAAGGCAAGAGCAATGTGAATATCTATGTGCTAATAATTATATTTTATCTTGCTTTTATATATTTATATATCTATACGCTAACTTTAGACCTTTTGCTTTTTATGTATGTCTACAATATTAGACCTTCTTTAGGCTTATGTATATCCATATGCTATTTGTAGACCTTCGCTCAACGTACACTTGGGCCTATGGCCTGGATTATGCCAGTTTTTGTATGCTTCTCAACCTTCGGCGCCGCTAATGGTTCCCTCTTTACGTCCGGAAGGTATAATCCATACTAACACAAAGCAAAATGACAAAGCCTACTACACACTTTGGTGGTTATTATATCTGTAGATATTAATTAATATAAATGATTTTATTTTAGACATAATGATGTGATAGTCACTCATATCAGACTGGCCAATGTCCATTAGCTATAGGAGTGCTTGGCATTTGATATTAAGATTAAGCCAATCTTACCATGTGATAGGCCATCTGGACAGTGTCAATACCATACATCTAGTAGATGGGTAATGATAGATCTCAATAGTAAGACAAGCATAGAATGGGCCTTTCCAGGGTGTCAGTCAAACTTTACTGACCAATCAGAATGTGTTATTTACGTTTGAAAATATACAAATGTCCCACAAACATGCAATTTTACATATGTTTTACAATGTTGAGACTTTAGCCAGAATATCCGAGGGGTGGGGCTTAGCGTAATTTTTTACTGTATGTTTTTTTTATATTTTTAAAAGCTTCCCAATAGTTATGCAATGCTTCTTAGCAATCCAGGTCTCTTGTTATTTATCTTTATTTGAACATGTCTTCTTCTTGGGCAGAAATAAATGGAATCAAATGAAATTGGCAATATTAAACCAGGGTAACTGACCCCGAATAGAAGATCTAATAATAATATATAATAAATATATTAGTCAATTTCCATTTTGGAAAAATATATGGCACCAACCAAAAAAAAAAAAAAATGTTGTAGTTTATACTTCAAATAAAAATTGAAATGTAAAATCTAAATTGGCAATCAATTATCTCGGAAAGAGATGACTAGGTTCAGTGAATTCAGGTTAGGTGGATTGGGTTAACTGACCTGAGGTAGTTTAAGGGGATGGATTCTTCAATCTGAAGATGACCTGGTTGGATTTGTAAATGACCTAAGCAAGACAATTTAGCTGACAAATTTTTACCACTGAGAAGTGTATGTTGGCTTTGTCTTTTGCTTCATTTTTGTTCTTTTCATTTTTTTTTCTTTTAAACTTTTGTTTTTTATTCATCCTTGCATTCTTCTTCACTTACGTTCATTCACTTAGCATTATTTTTTTAGTCTAACTAACAATTTATTTTACTTTCATTTCATAACTATCTTTGCTCTTCATTTCTCGGCAGTTAAAGGGTTTCACCGCGTGCAATTAAGGCATTTTTTCTGATGCATGCTTTGTAGTTTTTCATGTATCATGTGTCGCTCTAGTGTCCTCTGAACGGATAATCATGCTGAGTGATCATACAGTATGTGTATAGCATGTGCAAAGACAAGCCAAACGAGTCACTGGTCGTAAAAAAGTTTTAAAAAAGAGAGCTATAAAATGGCAAAAGAATCATTTAAATCCTACACTTCCTTATGAAGTTACAAGCATTTAAACATACAGCTGTTCAAAGAACAATATTTGAGAAATCAGCCTTCAAAGTTTATGATTTCGGGCATTTTTCAGGTAGAAACTATCACCAAATTGTTAACAACTGTTGTTTTAACATTTAAAACGGGGAAAATAACAGCATAACATGATGTATAGATATATAAAGGTTAGTTTAGAGCAATAAAATAAATTTCAAAAATGTTGACATTTTAGCATGTTTTGGCCATTATCTCTGAAACACGATTTGCGAGGAGTGACTGGTTTGGCTTGTATTTGCCACACATGAGCACCAATGAACACCATGGTTTTTTATCATAAGCAAACTTCTGTAAAAGCGTAGAATAAAATTGTCTATTTCTTGACCCATAGAATAAATTGATAAAATCAAATTACTTGTTTACATCTGTTAGAATTTTTCTCATTAGCAAATCATACCCGTTTCTGGTTTGTTTATTGGTTTATTTTGTGTTGAATTTGGAAAGCTATATTTTTTGAATACATATAAATCTGCTTCCAATTAACCAATAAAATATTCAATCAATTATTCAATGAATCAATCAGTTAATAAATGTAACAGGGTGTAATAATGCAGTAGCAATTGGCAAGAGCAAAATTAAAAGCTAAGCTGCAAGATCTTTATCCCACTATGACAAAGAATAGTAATACAGACTTAAGTACCTGTAGTAAATTCAAAGTTAATCATTAATTGTTTCCAATTTGTGGAATTATAAACAAAATTTCTGGGCCAAGCTAAAAATTCATATAGTGGTACAGTCATTAAATGTTTGCCATTCAAATATTTTGTTTGTATAAATCAGTTAAGTTTCATTAATCAATTACTTTTATTTAGTGTGAAGTTTGACAACATTATGGATGACTGCTTCTATTAGATTTTAGCATTTTCCATAATGCTTCAAAAATTATTAAGTGGAACATCAATCAAACTGACAACCCTTTTCATTTTCACGTAATTAATATTTAATTTAGAATTAATTAATTTCAAATGTCTTCCTGCCTCTAATTTTTACTTTATTTGCATCATCAACCATAATTAATTCTCTACTACCTTTATAAAATTGAATGAAGCTATTGAAATTTATGTTTTTAATTTGTAGTTCATTTTCTGCTTGGATTTTTTTTTTTGGGGGGGTGGTGGGGAGAGTGGGTGAGGGGTTGGTGTTGAGGATTTCTTGCCTAACACAAACATTAACGCAAGATGCGCTACATAAACATTACAAGACTTAAGGAGTGTAGTTGTGTTGGTGCTTGAGAACAATTTCTGTCACTTAATATGAATTAAACTGAGGGCCCTGGGATTAGAAAACAAACATACAGGCATACCTCCAAGCTGCAGGTCTTGGTGTTTGTGTAATAACTTTTGTATATTATTTTACATCAGGTGTTTGCCTACTAAACATTGTTAATTCCAGTTATATGGTGTTTTTGTCATATATATATATACCTGTCTCTTATACACATCTAGATGTGTATAAGAGACAGCTTAAACAGACCTTAAAATAAAACAATTATATTACAATAACAAAATTGATGAATAAATAAACTTTCTTTAACCCCAATAATGTGTAGCTTGGATTTTGCGTGACTGCATACTCACCACTGACATTGAATTAATGTTCACTCAAATTTGATTTTATGTAGTCTTCAATCATAACTTACCCACACGCTTTCATACCATGGGGGCAGACTTACTGCATATTCATTCATATTTGTCTGCAGAGGTTTTGCTGTGCATTAGCAGAGATACTATCCAGGGGTGTATGGTGAAAAATCTAAGGGGGGTCAAAACGAAAGCGCAGGGGGCAAGCTGAACTTGGAGCAATTTAGCGAAGCATTCAGAATTCGCGGGGTGCGTTATTTGTGAGTGAAGCGAGCATATTGAAAGGGCACTTTCTTTTAAAGGGGGGTCGACCGCACCCATCGACCCCCCACGGTACGCCCCTGCTATCTGTAGTTAGGCCAATTACTCATTTACAAGGTGTCCCATATCATTGGAAATGGAACACACAGAATGCAACATTCCCAACAAAATGCAGTGGCGTATATAGGGTACAGTATGGCACGGGTCGCAGGCCAAAAATAAGAAACCTAGCATCCCACCCTTATTGAAAATGTTCGAAGCATAAAAATCACGCTGAAGTAGTTAAAAATCACCTTATTTTACGACCTAGCCTCCCTCACCTAATCATCAAGGTCCCACCTTTTCCCCCTCCCCTATTTGTGCCTGGCTTTATACGTATCTGTTATAGCCTGATAAATGCAACTAATAGATTTTATAATTCTTTAATATAGATTGGCATACGTAGCCGCACGTGAGGGTCACATGGTGGAAGTGATTTCAATGGTACATGTGAAGCGGTACACACCATTCCCAGCTCTTGTTTTCACCGTAAGATTTTTTCTATAATACTTTTAACATGAGGCAACAAAACAATTAAATTCTCTTTAACAAGCAGTAATTAATACTTTTTTTATTTTTCTTCATTTTTGAAGGCATTATAAATAATCATTCATTCAAAGATAGTACTCTCCACTGTTTAAGGTGTATCAAAATTGAAGTGTCCGTTTGCGCAGAAATAATTTTTCTTCATTATTTTTTAATGTTGTTGTGCAATGGAAATGAATAAAAAAAAATAATAATAATAATAATTGTCATTGAGAGGGGGTGTCAGTTGTTACCACGGTTGTTACAGAATTTGCAAGAAGATCAAAGTTAAAAAGTAATTGTAATCGCAAGAGTGCCCCCTACACTGTGTTGTTACCAGATTTGCATGCAAAAATCACGGAGAATGCTGTCTTGTTATTGTAAGATCTTTGCGTTCATTTCATACATATTAAATTTCAGTTTTTGTACTATTTTTTTACACATTGAATGTGTAGCTTAGTAAAGAACATATAAAAATCACTAAATTATTGGCTTGATTGTTTATAATTTTTTTTTTTGTAGTCATGCCTTGCTATTCTGATGTTGATCCCAAGTGACTTTGATTCGCTGGTTAACTACTTCAGCTTCTCTGCATGGCTGTTCTACGGAGGAACGGTGGTTGCATTACTAGTTCTACGCTACACTGAACCAGATATTCCTCGTCCTATCAAAGTATGTTTTTTTACCCTTTCTCTTTCTGCAAATTAATTTTGAGTTGATGGATATGGTACCAAACTGCATATACCAGCACTATGTCCATCTTCTAGTCTGTGACAGAAATCTGCGGTAGGACCATATATGTTCATGATGATGTCATATGACATATGTCATTTTAAACTTGATATTGGACAGAGCTATTAAAATTCTATGTGCCAAAATGTGTGTGACATGCCCATATTTGTGTGTAATACGACATGCCCATATATTCCTCTCTGGGATTCAACCACCTTATGCACGTCAAGACAACATCTGTAGTAAGCTATATCAGAGAGCTGGTCTAGCAAACCACCTTCACAGCAGCCTCTACGAGAAGAAGCTCCGTCCAGCCTGCGCTCACGGAGGCCCTTGCCCCCCACATATGGAACATCAGGAAGCAGTGGCCATCACAATACCAACTGTACCTGAGTAATTGCAGCAGGGGTGGGCGCCAGGATTTGCCCGACGGGGGGGCCGAGGTCCCCGAAGTGGGGGGCCGAGGACCCCGACAGGCGGGGGCCGATGCCCCGACGATGGGTCAGATATACCCGACGAAACCAAAGTGGGCGTGGTCAAGCCCGAAAAGGTTTCGAAAGTAGTCCTGGGGGCAAAGCCCCAAAAATTTTGACAATTTAGAGGTTTCAAAGACTTGTTTAATTGATTTTAGAGTCTACTAATATGTAGGAAATACATATAAATTTTTTTTCTCCCGACGAATTGTGCTTTTTCTCCCCGACGGGGGGCCTTGGCCCCCGTGTTGGCGCCACCCCTGAATTGCAGCCATATATTGAGGCCTGGTCATCACACCCACCGGGCCACAATCTTCATCGGAAGGCCTGGGTACAACTAAACAGGCTACTGCTCTGGCAGTGGGCGATTTGCTGCTAGCATGAAAAAGTGGGGCATCGCAGACAGTCATGTTTTTCCTTGTGCACATGTACTAACCCATGAATGAATGAGAGTGCTGTGACACGACCCCGCTGTCCACTATCTGAAGTTGACAACCCTGAGTTGGTGGCATACCTTACTAACTGCCAATTTTAAACAATAGGCCTATATTTAAACATACGCGATAATAATAATAATGCCCAAAAAGGGTACAACACATTTTGTCACATAAAATTTGATAGTTTGGATTGAGCTTTAAACCAGAATGTTGTGACCTTTTCAAAGATATATCTAATAATATTTATACAAATATTTCAAAAATTTACCTAATTTTTATTATGAAAATTGTGAATTGTGTTACAAGTCAATAAAATAATGTTCTTTATTATTCCTCTAGGTTCCTATTGTCATCCCAATCATCGTATTGGTATGTTCCGTGTACCTGGTCTTCGCACCAATTATTGATGAACCGGCCTTGGAGTTCCTGTGGGCATTTCTCTTCATCGTGGCTGGTCTTATTTTTTACTTTCCCTTTGTGCATTTTCGTTACCATCCGAAATTCATGGGTGAGTTAGAGTCTAAACTGATATGTTTTTATTTTGTTTCATATGTTTATGCCTTTAATGCTGCGTATATTGTGTAGCCCTGATTCTGAAACTTTTTTTCAGACTGAGGTCCATATTTTTATATTGAAGAATCTGCGAATGTGAAAAAAATAGGTGCTCCAACCGGGATTTGAACCTGAGACCATCTGCTGTCTCTCTCTCTCTCTCTCTCTCTCTCTCTCTCCTTTC